AGAGTTAATTTTGCCTCACTATTATGGCAGGATCTTTTTGTGTACTCTACCCAAAGACCCATGAATCACGAGCTTTTTGTTTTCAATCTGGGTATTTAGGTATTTTGTTGGCCCTGTGTGAGTGGTGGGAGTCTTTCTTGGGTAGCCTTTTGAGATTCTGGTTAGTTTCTCCACATGTAAGCACTGATCAAAGCTCAGCGTTTAAGGAAGAATTCTGCAGATCTTTGGAATTCTCCACTCATATATCTCTTATCTAGAGTATTATTCTGTCCCATAGACATTAGCCTCCAGATCACTCCAGACTTGCAATTTCAACAGCTTGCCAGGGCTGCCAGGCCTTGCCAAGGCTTTCTGTCCAGTGCTTATAAGCTCCCAAGGCAGGAAGCTGAACGATGGAACTCACCTTGTTTCCTGATCAATATCTTGAATTTTGTTTTTTATATATTTGGACTGCTTTTTGCTTTTTCAAGGCAGAGGATAAATTTGGTCCATGTTACTGTGCCCTGGCCAAAAGCAGAAGTCCCTCTCATTGATAATTGATTTATATCAGTTATTGGCTAAGACTGACAGCATTCTTAAAACATTTACTAACCTAAGTTTTACATTTTATTGATCTGTATGGAACCCATATCTATAATTTTTCTTTGTTCAAAGTCTTCTGTTGCTATAACTCCTGTGATATAACATAAATATTAAATGACTTTAAAGCTTTTTATCATCTTTTAATATACCCCTCTAATGTAGGCGTCTACAGTATTAGCTAAGTAGTGATTTAGTGTGGGCTTCTGTTACTTAGCATCATACAATTAAAGGACATGCTCTGACCTGATGAAGCAGAACAATGAAATGTGTCAAGTTCTTGGGGCTTTCCCACAGCAGGCTCAAAGACTGCCAGGAGCTTCTGTGTGATAACTCATTTTCTGCCAACTTAAGTATCTGCATCAAAGCCTACTAGCTTGATTGAGGTTATAAGGTGAGCCGAGACAGGAAGTGTGAGGTGAGAGAGGAAGAAAAGAACCATGAAAGAAGAGCAGTCATTTTGAGCAGACAAGATGGATCTTGTCGGAGACGGAGAATAATTGCTCCAGGGATGGGGGTGACTTGGAACCCACTGGTGGTAAGCTGATAGAGAAGGGGGGAAAGAGCATTGGAACCCACTGGTGGTAAGCTGATAGAGAAGGGGGTAAAGAGCACCACAGAAACAGAATGAAAAGACAGGCCTTGTTTTGTAGGAGCTGTCCTTCTCGCTCAGATTTGCTACCTCATAACTGCTGCTGTGTGTGTGTAATATATGCTTGTTGAAGATCCCAGGGAGAAGTCAGAACATACCTAGAGGAGAACAAGGTATATGTAGATACTAGTTAGGATAAAACCCTCTAGCTGTGTGTGTGTGAACTAAATCATGCTTTAATAGTGTTTTTACATATGCTGTATAATAAATAGTATGAGATAATATCAGTGTATAAGACCCATGCGTTAAAGTGAGTAAATCATAAATTCTTGACCTTTGGCTTAGTATAGCTAAGAAAATTTATTTTTTGTAACTTCGCAATAAACTTTTAAAAAATACAAAATCCTTGTAGGCAGATGTAATGTTAATGTTCTAGGACTTCAGAACTATATGGGCTGATAATTTCAAAAACTATTTGGAAACAAAAAGTAGGATTTTTTTGTAATTAAAAAATTAAGGCTTGGGCCGGGGAGATGGCTCAGTAGGATAAGCGCTTGACTGGCAAACGCAAGGATCTGAGTTCAATACCCGGTTCCGCAAAAAAAAAAAAAAATTAAGGCTTAATTTACTTTAACTAATATTTCCATGTCATTCCTCTGTATGGATTTTATCAAGTGTGTTTCTTGTCTTCTAAATAGGTGCTTGTTAGTCAAGATATCTGCTCTTGCTACATGACTATAAGTCTTCATGTCAAGAGTTCGTGTGCATAAGAGAAGACAGAACCACATCTGCATTTTATTTTCTTCAGGCTAGGAAGCATAGGTTTTTCATAGTCCATAAGGATGGTAATAAGGCAGTGACAGACACCCAAAGCAGGAGATAGTACACATGGGAGAGGAGGAAGAGAACGCCTTTCAGGACATTGTAAAGGGCATTTACTTGTCCTCAAAGGTAGGATATGCACACATTTGTTTTTGGTCTTTTTGAGACAGGGTCTCACTATGCAGTTCAGGCTGGCCTTGAGCTCACTTCGTAGCCCAGCTTGGCCTCCAACTCACAGTGATCCTCCTGCCTCAGCCTCCCAATTGTTAGGATTACAATTGTGCACCACCATGCCTGGCTTGAATATATGCATTTGTATTTGTGTTTTGATTTCTTTTTAAAGGAAAGTTACTTATGTACTTATTTATTTTTGTGTTTTTGAGACAGGGTCTTTATCTGTAGTTCAGGCTGGCCTTGAGCTCGCTTTGTAGCTCAGGTTGGTCTTGAACTTGCAACAGTCCTCCTGCCTCAGCCTCCCAAGTGCTGGGGTTACAGGATTGTGTCACCACGCCTGGCCTATTTATTTATTTAAAGACAGGGTCTCACTATATAGTCCAGGCTGGCCTTGAACTCACTTGACCTACCCGGGCTACCGCCAAACTCATGGTAGTCCTTCTGCCTCAGCCTCCCAAATGCTGGGATTATAGACATGCACCACCATGCCAGGAACAAACTTTTTAAATAAAGCTCAGCATATATAGAAAAAAATTGAAAATTATGAATATATACTTGATAACTGTATGACTAATAGCTGTTCAGATGAAGAAACAGAATGTTTGTGCTAGAAATGATTTTATTTCAAGCTGGCTTCTAGGTACTTGATGTTCATAGTGATTTTTTTTTTTTATGAGGAGAGTCATACTGAAGCTTGAACCCAGGGCTTTGTCCATGCTGAGCAAGTGCTATATCATGATGTTATTATTTTTATTCTTTTTTTTAATATTTCAAAATCTACCTATCATGTT